CCGACCTGCGGCCCTTTGCTGCCTTTCATCCCCTCTCTCTCCACCCACCTTTCCTGTCTCTCTACAGCTGTCTCTATAAAATAAAGCCAACAAAAGGCCAAAAAAATTACATATTGTTTCTCACCGATGACAGTAAGCAATGCAGAGGTCTTGGAGGTCCTGGCGTCACATTCATACTCGGCCTCATCGTCAAACACAGACTTGTGGACGATGAGGATCCTCTGGACTCCCTTAGCGATGATCTCATACTTCTTTCCTTTCCTGATCTCGCTGCCGTCCTTGAACCAGCGAACCTGCACGACGACATCAGAGTTTCACATCCTCCTTATATCATAAATCTTACACAGACAACACAAGTTTGACAGCTCTTTATTAGTCTGTGTGTGAGCGGACGGTCAGCAGGTCTCACCTTGGCAGACTCGCGGGACACTTCACATTCAAACTTAGCAGATTCTTTCTCTTTGACCTCCACGTCCTGCAGAGGCTTCGTGAACTCCACATGAGGAGCTGTGGACACACAGACAACATGCTTATAACACACTTATAACACACTTATAACACGCTTACAACACGCTGTTCACAGGTTTAAAAGTGTTAAATTGTTGGGTATTTTATTTTGCTTTTTTGAATTTTTAATCTGTTGTAAATAGTTTTTGTGCCATACTGTAAAGGGATCGGAGCTGAATTTCATGTTTTAAAGGTGCTATATAAATAAAAGTTATTATTAATATTAATGATCATAATTTTTGCATTTAAATTAACAGTAATAAAAACAACCTCAGTGGAAATGTATAAAAAAATGCTTTAAAAAAAAAACAGATTAAAAAGTTGAAAACAAACAAATAACAAGTTATAAATGACTAAAAATTTAATCTTTCAGTAAAATTAGCAACAATTAATTATTTAAAAGCAAAATTAACAGAATATACTTTATTCTGATTATATTTAATAATATAAAATAAACATTAATATACAGAAACTGCAGAGGGACAGCTGTCTGTACTACAGTTTTCAAAGTGTTGAGTGATACATCATTAACATGATTTAAAAACTTCAGTTCAGTATTAATTGTGCAATAGTAGGAAATCATATGCATTACTGTATAACCTATTACATTAGTTTGATATTTTATTCTTGGCACAAATAAGCCTATATAAGTGAGTAATCTATAGTTTATTTTTATAATTCTCTTTTCAGAGTAATAGTACTTCCTGTTACATTTACATCTTTCTGTGATATAAATATTTTTGAATTGAGCCCTACTTTGAAACTGATGAAACTTAAATTACAGACTTTATTTTGACATTCAGATGACAGGATGTGATAATAGTTTAATAATAATTGTAAATTAAAGTTTGGTCCTTACGTGTAACCTCCAGGAAACAAGAAGTCTTAAACTCTTTGGCGTCACACGTGTACATCTTTGCGTCGTCCGGAGTGCAGTCATGGATGACCAGCGCTCTCTTACGTCCGTCGACGATCAGGTCGTACTTCTTGGTCTTTCTGATCTCCTGTCCCTCTCTGAACCAGCGAACGTCGGCCTTCTCTCTGGAAACTTCACACTCCAGCGTGGCAGTGGCCTCCTCCTCCACCGTCTGGTCCTCCAGAGGCTTTGTGAACTCCACCGGCGGCTCTGAACACAGAAACACAGACGTTAACCAGAAATACACAATAAAAAAATAACTCCTGGTGTGAGGCGTTTGCTGGCCGCGGTGCGTTCAAGCGTCTCACCTCTGATGATGAGCTGAGCCTGAGTCAGGAAGTCTTTGGAGGTCATTTTGACCTCCCCGGCCTCCGACAGCTTCACGTCTCTGATGGTCAGAGTGTGAATGCAACCGGCCACCCGAGTCTTCACCTGCAGGGACGGAAAAAAAGAGACAAAAAAAAAAAAAGTTAATGATAATAATAATAATAATACATTTAATTCAGTTTAATAATATTTTAATAATAATTCATAATTAATTATAATTCAACGATGTTGAAAGCTTTTGTTAAAAAATTGTGTTTGACTGTATTTTCTCTTTATCTTCTTTGTTTTTGGCTGCAACTATAGATTGTATAGACTATTGATTTATGTGTTTATTCTTTTTCAATTCATGAATTGTCTCATTTATGAAGCAAGATAACATTTTTCCTCTTCAACAAAATCCAAAGTTCAGTTCAGTTTACAGTGAAATTTTTTTGTTTGTTTGATGAAAACAGACACTGATTAATTTTCTGTCATCAACTTATCGATACATTAACAAAATAAAACCACTATGTGACCAAATCATTTAACAAATGAGCTTCCATACTTCATCTATCAAATTAAATAGTTTACAAATTAAATCAACTTGTTTCAGGAATTTGTTTCTTTTTTATTAGAAATAATTTTAGCCCACTGAGACACTTTAAGAAAATCATTTACTGATGATTCTGGTGCCCCCTGTGGACTAATGTGCTAATGTTTCTAACACCTCATTACATATATTTTAGCGGGAATCGAACCTGCTGGCAGACATCAATAATAACTCTATAGAAATATTCATTTTCTCTGATGTGTGTTTCTGTAGCTCATACAGAGGCATTTCTATTAAACTATTAGACTGTTTATAACCAGATAAACTCCTTGTATCAGTTTACCTGTTAAACTGTTGTAAAACCTAACAGGCAGAAGGATGTTCTGTGTTCAGACAGAGCCTTCAAAAGCTAACATGCTAATGCGAGCTGTGGATCTGTCTACATATAAGGTGCTGGCGACAGTCGGGGGTCTGTGAGTTAAAGATAACGGCGGCTCTGGTATCTCTGATTATTTTTAACTGCAGCCAAGAGCCTGAAGCTTCTGCACTGTAAAAACCAACATGTTCACATTTAATGCATGTTTGAGATGTTAAAAGAGATGCTTTATCTGACCGGTTTTCTTTTATCTGCAAACACATCTGACAAATGTGAACCACTGCTGTAAAATCAAGAAAATGACCTGAAAACAGGTGAAATAATCTCTGCCTACTGTTTTGTTTTTCTCTGTTTAAACTAAATCAGACTGATTTTACAGTGTGTAAAATGTCAAATTAAGTATAAATAAACAGATCTTCTGTCTCTGTATTTCTTGTGGATTTTTTTGAAATTTTAGGAACCAAAAACTGCTTATTTTTTTAAGCTGAATTATCAGAGTGTGATTTTCTTTCTTTTCATAAATAAATGTAAATGTATAAGTTATTTCTTATGAATATATCTTTTTAATCTCACAGAATATCCATGTTTTATTCTCATACATTTTAATTTCTTTCTCGTACATTTACCACTTTTATTTTGCAGAATATATTTTTTACAGTGTGTAAAATTAATATTCAGTTTTTAGTTTTTTATTAAATACTAAAAAATAAGAATTTGAAATCCAGAAATTGATAACAAATTACTAGGACTTTCAATGTGTTTTGAATGAATAATGTTTTTTCTTTTCTTCCTGCTTAAACATTAAGAATGAAAGCAGGCTCAGATATAACTGAATACAGTCAATAAAAAATGCACACGCTCCAAAATTTTAGTGTAAAATTAGAGATTAAAACCAGCACAAATTATATACTTTTAGAAACTGGAGTTAAAACATTTGATACGTCTGAAGTAAACAGGAATTTTCGGACTCAGTAAGAGACAGAATCAAGACTTTTTCCTGTGAGGTTTGGTGGAGACGTTGATGTGTTTGACTCACCCGGTCACTGGCCTCCATCTTCTTTCCTCCAAGGAACCACTCCACCGCGATGCCCTCGTAAGACAGCTCGCACTCGAAGGTCGCCGTCTCTCCAGCCGTCACCGTCACGTCCTTCAGAGGATGCCGCAGCCCGATGGAGCGAGCTGGAGAAGAAGAAGAGGACATGGTTAAATGGACCAGCATGCATCTGTCGGACCGCTGGAGCTGACCTGAGGTCTGAGAAAGTTTGTGAAGCAGCAGAGAGTCATGTTCCTGTCCCTCCAATCAGAGCGCAGCCTCTTACTTTAGATAAAGCATCTAAAATAAACTCAAGGGCTGATTGGCTAAAGACTGACAGATACTCGACCCTCTGCTGGAGGTTGAGATAGAAAATATTTTTCAAACATAAAGGGATTATTAAAGTATTTCTGATTCTGATTGTGATTCTGATTACCAGATGAGACATTTTAAAGTGTAGAAAATCTGCTCTGACATAAAGACAAATTGAAGAAAGATATTATTTATATTACCTGGATTAGAAAATTATCTCAGATATTTTAAATGCTTTAATAAGAAGGTTTTAATTATTCCAGAATTTTGACTATTTAGTAGCAACATTATAAAATCATATCATAATTTTGAAATCTGTTGATGGAAAACAGTAGTAGATGAATGCTCAACGACATCAAGAAATAAAACTACTTTGTCTCCAGGTAAAAATTTGTTAAAAACAATGAAAAAAACCCCAAATTGATTTGTGTATCTTGAACAAACTGAAACTTTTACTGACTTTAGAGGAAACTAAATGTACTGTATATGTTTATTGTGCTGAAATGTGACAAAGATTAAAAAACAAAAATAAGAAAAATATAAAAGAAAAAAAACTTTTCTCAATCTGAAAACAACAATCAGAACCCCCAAATCCCGACAGGATGAACCGCTTTCACATATGAATAAATAAATAAATGAATAAATAACCACCCACCTTTCACTCGGAGCTGAGCGTTGGATTTGGCGTTGGCTGCTGAGAAGTCGACACCTCCCGCCATGTCCATACGGACATTATAGAGGATCAACATGTGTTTGGTTCCTTCCTCCTTAATCTCAACATCCTGAAAGAAAACAAAACCATTTCATTCAAAACTCTCGTAAATTTGTTTTTTCTTGTAAATGTACCTTTTAAGCTCAAAGAGTTTTTTTCTTCTAAATTAACCACTTTAATTTCACAAATAATACACATGTGAGTTATTTTTTGTAAATATACCACTTTAATCTCACAGAACATTCATGTTCTTCCATGCCTTTAACTTATGTCATTGTTTTATGAAACCAGACTCACAGAAGACTGATGCAGAGCTTCTCCCTTCAGTTTCCAGTTTCCGTGGACGTCTTCCTCTGAAATTTCTGTCTCAAACTTGGCTGTTTCTGTCTCTGTGACCTCAACACTGTACAACGGACGAACAATCTTGATGTCCCGCTCTGCAGGGGAAGAAAATAAATCAGTAAGTACTGGTAGTGCCCCCTACAGGCTGAAGTGTTAGAGATTTACTGACATACATTAGTGTATTTCCTTTGGTAATATTAATTTATTTTCTGCTGTAAACTATGACATACCTCAGGTCTATGTTCTTGGTCCTCTACTCTCTATTTACATTAATTTGTTTATTTAGATTTTAAACAAAACTTAAACCTCCAACCACTAAATCATGTTAATTGTGCCTCAGAATAATTTCAATTTCTTTTTGACCAAATTATATGCAGATATTGAATGAATTTCCACCTCTACGCTGATGATACTCCAATGTCAAACGCGGATGATCACACCAATATTTGGAAATTAATATTAAATTCAGTGCAACATTTTCAATAATTTGTTTGAGTATCAGTAACCCTTCAATTATGTGATAGCTCAAAGATTGACCTCCAAAATTTTGCTGTTCATTTTAATCCAACAGCACATTAGATTTACCAAGAATGTTGCTTTCAACCAATACAACATTGCTAAAATTTGTTCTTGTCTGATGCTGATCCTGATCCATCATTTTGTTACTTTACTAACCAGAATTGAGGATCTAAACATAGAAATTGTTCAGTGTTGCACAGATTGAGGCAAATTAGTGAGTTTGGGCTATATAAATAAAAATAAACATGAATTTACTTTCTTATACCTCTAATTCTCCATTGAATGTTACTTTAACACCAACGTTCCTGTCACGTATCTCCTGAGAATTTACCTTCAATGTTGAGGTTGGCTGTGGTTTTATCTGAACCACAGTCGCAGGTATACTCTCCAATGTTGGCCTTCTCTGCCTTCCTGACTGTCAGGATGCGCTTCTTGCCATCGGTGCTGATGGCAATGTTCTTGGAGGGAGTGATCTCCTTCCCGTCCTTGAACCATTTGACATCGGCGACGGCCTTGCTGAGTTCACACACCAGCTTCACCTCATCCTTCTCCACGGCTGTGTAGTTCTGCAGCTTGGTGGTGAAATACAGGTCGCCCTCTGCAGAGGAATAAGATTAATAACATTCTCATGTTTAAATGACCAAACCTTTAATTCAGTCTTGGATGTTTTCATCCAATCAAACACTTGAACAACAACCAAACATTTGACACAAGCTAAAAGGGTTTGCAGCTACTGAAGAGTGACACTGACCGATGACGGTGAGCAGGGCGGTCATGGTCTTGTCCATGGCCTCCACTTTGATCATGGATGTGTCATCGATAGTGACCTCCTTGAAGGCCAGTGTGTGGATCTTTCCGTGATCCGACATGTGGACCACCTTGCTGGGATGCAGACGGACGTCGTTTTTGTACCAGATCACCGTGATCTTGTCGTGGGAGAGTTCGACACTGAATTCAGCTGTTTCGCGTTCCTTCACTGTCACATCCTTAATCGGTTTGGCAAACTCCAAACGAATACCTGCCGCAGAAAAAACAATACAGTCATTCACCTGAAGTAGAGCATATATTTGAATTTATTTACAGGATAGCCCCTTGAAATGCAGTATCTAATTTTTCCAAAATATATAGCTGTAGATATATATGAAGATATATTTTTACAAATTGTAATGATAATAATATCATTTATAAAAAAGATGATAAAATTATAAAAAGTATGGTTGAGACCTGTTCTATATGAAAAGTGCCCTGAGATAACTGAATCTCAAATTTGATAAAACCACCGTATTTTAAGTATAAACTGGTACATTTGGGTAAATACACAAAATTCAGATATAAACAAAGTCCAAAGTCCAAACTAAAAGTAAGAAAGAAACAACACAAGAATTTGGGTTTCAATTTTGGTGAATCCCCCTAAAATGTGGGGTAAAAGGTGTAAAAGTTTAATACAAACTAAATAACTTATAATTTATTACATCTAAAAAATCACTTTGAGAAGATAGAAAATATTGTTTATTATTATAAAATCTGCACGTTGCAAATGAAACATGAGTCAGTTTTAACTTGAATTAATCACTAAAGATTCTTAAATTTAAAATGAAAGCAGCCAAATAAGCTTCTTATAAAAACTTTGTTACCTTGTATGACCAGTTTGCCGGTCGTCCTCTTGTCCTCGGCCTCAAACATGTACTTTGCTTCGTCATCATAGGCGGCCGATCGGATCAACAGAACATACATGTTTCCTTCCTGGATCATCTCATACTTATCGTCACTCTTCAGCTCTTGAGAGCCTTTCAGCCAGCGGAAACTCTTTGGAGGTCTCGACAGCTCGATCTCGAACCTCGCCTCGTCCTTCTCGTACACCTGAACGTCGCTCAGCGGTGTGAGGAAGTTCAGTGGAAGTTCTGAAGGAAAAAACGTAAGAAAGGTTTTTACTTTGATGCCGTTCCGCTGTCGAGTTGAGCTTCTTAATCATTTTGGGCCCTGACACAATAAAATAAAATACTCAAATACAGGTAAAACTGACCAACAACTAACCAAAGTTAACTGAGTATACAGTTCAGAGGATTCGTTGTACAGCCCAGTGCACAGGCCAACCAGGATGTGATAGATAGATAATATACATCAGTTGTTAGTTAGCTAGTTAACTTACATTTTGCTAACATTAGCTGACATTAAGTTGCTTTGACCAGGTCATTGGAGGACAGAGCGGAAGGGGCGGGGCTTAGGAAGGGTAAATTATTGCATGATTATATAAGACAATTTGGAACAGATGTTCACGTGGTAATGTTAAGTCATCTGGAAAAAACATTTCTGGAGTGACTGAAGATGAAGTAACTCTGCTCATTTACCTTTGACCTTCAGGTTAGCAGAACATTTGGCGTTGGCGGCGGTGTACGCCACCTCGCCGGTCATGGGGACTTTACAGTTGTACAGGATCAGCGTGTGCTTGCCTCCCTCCTCGATGATGTCAACATCCTGTTAAATAATGTTATAAACAGTCATTAATAATAGCAACATAATGACAATGAAACAAAGAGGACAAAAAAGTAGAAAAATGCTCACTTTGGACGGACTGAGGACTTCTCCATTCAGTTTCCACTGGCCATGGACGTCGTCCTCAGAGATCTCTACCTCGAAACGAGCCGTCTCTCCATCAAACAGCTCCACGCCATAAATCGGCCGAACCACCTTAATGTCACGAGCTGGTGGGTTGAAGATTTGAGGGAAAGAAAAACAATTCAAGCGTGAGACTTGTAAGTGACGTGAGTTTTAACATCAGCTGTAGTAGAAATTATAAAAACGTTCTCTTTTGTGGGAATAATGAATCTATATTCTCTCTTATCAAAATTATCCTTTTCATCTGAGAAAATGATCATGAAAAAAGCCCAAAAAATATAATTTGGACTTTTGTTTTGTATGTTTAAAAAAACCTGATAAGAGAATAATTTTCTATATGATTAATTGTATATATCTTTAATTTCAGAATTCTGACTTTCTCAAACATCCTTTTGATCAGGATTAAAAAAATATATTTGTGAGACAGTTCCAATATTGTGAAGAAATGCTATATATTTCTCATATAAGAAAAATATATAGTATCCAATTTCTCAAAATTGCTTTTCTCATATGAGATATTTTTCAGATAAATTATGGCTAAAATATTATTTATCTCAGAACCTTTCATGTGACCCTAATCTTCTAATAACTTTCAGACAGAACATGTCTTTACTTTTGTCTGTGGTCAGTTCTGATTGATTCATGACGTTTACCTTCAATATTGATGTTGGCCGAAGTTTTGTCCGTTCCGCAGTCACATACATATTTGCCTTTATCGCTCAGCTCCACTTTCTTCAGGATCAGAGACCTGCGAGTGCCCTCAGACTTCATGACCACCATTTTGGAGGCGACAATCTCCTTCTCACTGCAATACCAAATGACGGGGACATCTTTGCTCAGTTCGCAGTCCAGAGTAACCTCCTCTTTCTCGGTGGCTGTGTAGTCCTGCAGCTTCACCACGAAGATGGCGTCGCCCTCTGTAAAAGAGCCCAGATTCAGTTTCAGTAAAATACAGTTTCACAGTCGCATCATTGCATCTGTTACAAAGACTGAGCAGTCTTGTGGAGTGGTAAAAGAATTGCATGATACTGACAACCATTTCAGCAGATTTTTATTTCATTTTCAATTCTGGTTCATTTCAACATAAAATGTGTCCATTTTTATCACAAAAAAGAAGTCTGGACAAAAAAAAGAACAAGAATTAAGGAGAAAAAGAAGGCGAGTGCTCAACCAGTGCCTGATTTGGGTAAAAAAAGATACCAGTACCCTAATTCAGCACAACCCTAACCACATAATACCCCTAACACGAATTTGTTTCAGCATTGCGCTAGCTATGTGTTTACACAGAAACACAGTTGCGCAGGCGTTAGCCTAATTTTTTATTTGTTGTATTCTTCAGCCTTATAGTTCTGATTTTATATTTAAAAATCACATTTGCAAGTAAAATAAGAAATTAATGGCAAAACTATAAAATAAAAGCCCAGTTGAAATAAACCAGAATTAGTTTTTAACCTAAGTTTCTAATTAACACAAAAATCCAGTAAGTATACAATAAGATATTACTGCCTGATATCTGCTGTCTGACACATTGTGTAATAAAGACATTGAGAGAAAAAGGAGAAAGAAAGGAAGGTGTGTTGTTACCTATGACCGTCAGTTTTGCCATGGAGTAAATTCCTTTGGCCTCTGCCTTAATCAGACAGGTATCATCTAGAGACAACATCCTCATTTCTAGAGTGTGTCTCTTTCCTTCCACGTGTGTGAGCACCGTTCGGCTCACGTGGAGTTTCACTTCGTTTCGGTACCAAACCACGGGCACGTTCTCGTGCGACAGCTCGAGCTCAAAGTGAGCCGTTTTACCTTCTTTCACCGTTTGGTCCTTAAGCTGCTGCATAAATTTGAGCCTCATGCCTGCAATACATCAAGTCAATGCACACAAACAGAGCAGTTTGTAGCCCTTTAAAAGACACTTTAAAAGCCACAAACATGGAATGACCACAGAGTAAACAGCAAACGATGGTTTTCTATCTGCCACTTACCTTCCACCGACAGCTGAGCGCTCGATTTCTGGCCCAACACTTCGATGGTGTACTGAGCCTCATCATCAAACTCACAGCTGTTTATGATCAGCATGTGTTTCTTTCCATCATCAATTATTTCATATTTAGGGCTCGGGGTGACGATCTCCACCCCCCTAAACCACATGACTTTTGACACCTCCTTGGTGATGGTGCATTCAAACTTAGCCTGTTTCTTTTCAGGCACAGAAACATCCTTCAGTGCGTCAACAAAGCCCATTTCGATTTCTGCGAGATGCGAACAATTCGGCAGTTATTCATAAAAGCAAAGACACAGCCATTGCTTTTCTTACCACGTTCCTTTTAAAATTCCTTCAGCTTTCAGGGAGCAACAAATGCCGCAGCTTGCAACAGACAACAAGAAACAGAACTGGGTTTGTCTGAGGGAGATTTGTACCTTTGACGGTGAGCATGCCGCTGGTGATGGCGTTCAGAGCCTGATAGGACACTTCACCAGCCTGATCCAACTGGACGTTCTTCAACGTGAGGAAACGTTTCTTGCCTTCAGTCTTAATGTCACAGGTCTGAAAAACAAAGAACAAATACTTAATTTTTTGTTTCAACACCACAACTATACTCCTTCGTAGAGGTGGAGGGAAGAATTACACTGTAAAGTTAGTTGAGGAAACCAATCGCCTTAAAACACTTGCGTTTATTAACAATTTTAACCCTAACCCTTCATATGCAGTATTTCAAACTTATTTAACTTAAATTAATCTGAATAAAGTAAGACATGTTCTTTATACAAATATTACTTTCAAACTAATTATTAATAATTTACTTATTTTGGTTGAACTAAAGCAAATTATTACCTGTCAAAACAGCTAAAAAACTAAACAATCGATTATCAAAATGGTAGCAAATTAATTTTCTTATTAAAATTTTCTGAATTCTGAATCAATTCACATCTTCAAAAACAACTTTTCCATATTAAGCATAGTTTAAATTTTTTCCTTGCTGCTGGCAATGTTGATTCTCTGCATGCCCTTTTCGGCTTCCAAGGAAGCAAGCAAGGAAAATTTAAGAGAAGAATTTAAGAGAGAGAGAGTTACAGCGAGTAAAATGGGATGTTTTTTAAAAATCTTACCGGAGATCTCATCAACACCTGGCCCCTCAGTTTCCATTCACCGGCTACATCATCCTCAGATATTTCAGTGTCAAAGTGAGCTTCCTCCTTCTCCACCACCTCCACGCTGGAGAGGGGCTTCAAGATCTCAGCCTCACGTTCTGAAACAACACACAGAGGTGGTTATGAGACATATTCTACCTTGTTGAACATGATTTTTTAACGAGTATTTGTTACACCAACCTCCCAGCGTGAGTTTGGCCGTGTATCTGCGATCCTCAACCTCGATGGTATAATCTGAGACGTCATTGGGCTGGCAGTTGTTGATGGTAAGTGTCATGTCCTTTCCATCTTTGTTGATTTCCACCTTGTCAGAAGGAGTGAGCTCGTTTTCTCCTTTGAACCACTTCCAGTTGGGAGTGTCCTTGAACAGCTCACATTTGAACTGGGCTTTGGCCTTTGGTTTCACATGCTGGTCTCTCAGAGGCTTCACCAGCCAGTCTTTGATGATTTCTGAGGACAGAGGGGTTAAATTATTTAAGATGGTTGAAGACCTCTAAGGTGAAAGATTGAATTTGAAAAAGTCTGAAAGTTTGCTCCAAACTAGTCGAAATATCAAGGTGAGTTTTAAGCTGACCGCTGCTGACTGCTTACCAATCACTTTCACGTTGGTTGTAGTCTTAACGTCCTCCTGTCCCTCTACCTCACAGGTGTAGTTGCCGGCGTCTTCTTCAGTGGAGTTCTGGATGGTCACAGCGTGCTGCATACCAATGATATTAATGGCCACTTTTCCAGCCTTTTTCTTCAGGACAGCACCGTTACGCTTCCAGATCACATCTCTCTCTTTGTTCAACTCACAGGTCAGGTACATAGGCTGACCCTTCATACATGATGTTTCCGGCTCCAGTTCTTTGATCCATTTTACAGGCAGCTCTGCACAAAGAAACAAAATAATTAGTTGCGATACGATAAAAGCTGTGTTTCTTTTGAAATTCCTCCATTCTGGTGACAATACCATACCTGAGTTTGAGTACTTTTTGATGCCTATAAAAAGCTTGTTTTTTCAATTAATCAAACACTTGTCAAATACTTTTTAATGTTGTCACAATGCATATATTTGGATAAAAAACCTCATTTGTTTACCTTCAACAATGAGCTTGGCAGTGCATGTTATTTCCTTGCCGGCATTCTTGGCCACACAGGTATATTCACCGGTGTCTGACAGTTGGACATCAATAATGTTCAACTTGCGGTCTTTGCCATCAGCTGTGAATTTGTGTTTGGGGCCCTCACGGAGGTTGCTGCCATCCTTCATCCATGAAGTGATGGCAGTGGAGGGAGAGACCTCACACTCAAACACAGCAGACGAGCCTATGGACTCGGCCTCCTGCAGCACGATGTCCTGAATCTTCTTGACGAACTTCAGGGGGACGGCTTTCAACTTGAATCCTCCAAACGGTTCCTCCGGTGGTGATGGGCCTTTACCGCCGGGCCTCAGGCCGCGGCCCCTGCCACCGTCACCAGGTGATGGGGTTTGTCTCGCTGCAACGTCACATACAAAAACTCATCAAGTTAGTTTCAGATATTTTGATGAGTGAGGAATCAGACATTTGACAATGGGATGTTTTTAAGAATTGGGCCTACCGTGAATTACTGTGAACAAAAATCAGTTTTTAGTGTTAAAGGTGCACAGACTACAAGAATCTATTAAGACTATAAATCATGCAGAGCCACTCTTTATGAGCCTTCAAGAGGACTCTTTGAAGAACCACGAAACTAAAAAATACAAGACAAAAAAACAGACAAACCAGACATACAACACGCAAAGAAAGAAAGATAGCAATCTCCAGCAACTGTGAAGCTAACAAAAACACATGGACTACCTACCTGTGTTTTTATACATTTAGTAAAATATTAAATATTAAGTGTTTGTGTTTTCTTTTAGCCTTTGTTATTTTGATGGTCATAGAATATGGAGTGAACACAGACAATAATAAAAAAAATAAAGTTCAAATAGGAAATATTTGGATGAAAAGACGCAAGTATCTACTTAAAGAATATTTGTAAAAGATTACAAATCTTTTATGACTCAGTGCTACATACACATTTTGGTTGGTACCAAAGAGCAAAGGTTTTATCCCCTATGTTCATCACAAACCTTCAGGCCAAGATTAAAGAATCAACACAAAACATTTGTTTGATTTTGCTGGAAAGGACAAAACATGAAAACAACATACACTTTGTAAATTGAGCGAGTGAAGTTGCTTCAGATATTATCTAGCACAAAGAGCAAAACCGTTAGTACACATGGGCTCATTGAATTCATACCCCCAAATCCTCTGCCTCTGCCTTTTGGTGGCTCCTCTGTTGGTTTTCCATCTGGATAAGAAACAATAAGATGAGTTTTAAGTGTCTCTGTTAGAGCTTGCTGTTCCAGCATAAACCAAGATAAGATTTGAGCAATGCTAACAAGAAACATGCTAAACCACACATATTCTTGTACACATCACATGAGAACATATAAGGGACAGCACATGGTAAGATGAGAAAGATGGAGTGAAATCTTTGACAAATGGATGAATAATGCGACAAACATTGATGGAAGACGATGCAGAAGACTAGAAGTTATAGTGAATGACATGAACGTTGATGAAGACGAACATGCAACATTTGAAGATTTATGTTGATGACACATTTGATGACATTATATGATGGACAACATAAGAACATCACAGTGGATGGACAGACAAATACAGACAGATAAATACATGAGCTCTAGATGAACTAATGGCTCAAATAAAGTGATTAAAAAGGGATGTGATGAGGATTAGATGAGTCATCTGAGATGGATGAGGTGGCTCCAATGTCATCAGCTGAGGAGTTTGCCTTCATCTCACCTCGTTTACTGCCGGGCATGCCTGGAGTCTCCAACGCCCCATCCACCCCTTCACCTTCCCAGTCCTCCATGGGAACCAGCTCCCAGCCCCAGGCTTCCTCTTCTTCGCCACCTTCCATTTCTTCTGCCTCCTCTTCAAACACCTCCTCCTCTGGCTGAGTGGGCACCTTCTTCATCTGCACAGCTCCAGGAGAAACCTCCTTTACCAGGGGGATCCGTCCTTTACCGGGCTTCTCCGATTCTGTCTCCTCTGGTGATGGCTTCTTTGGGACCTTTTTGAGTGTTACAGCTTCAATGGAGTCTTTTGGTGACACCGTTTTGGGAATCCTTTTGACTTTTTCAGCACTTAATTTCTTCTCAATGGGGACTTGCTCCAGTTCCTTTGGTTTTGGCTTATCAACTTTTGGTGATGGAGTCTTTTTTAGCTCGACCTTCTTCAGTTGCTCAATAGGTTTAAGTGACTTTACTTCTTCGATCTTGTCTTTACCCACTCTTGGGGAAGGAGTCTTTTTGAGTTCAATACCTTTCTTTAATGTATCTGTTTGTTTTTGTGGGATCTCTTTCTCAGCTTCTTTCTTTTCTAATGGACTGGGTTTCTTTGGTGGAACAGCTGGCTCCTCTTTCTCCCGAGGTTTCTCATCCTCTTTTTTAGACGCTTCAACTTTCCTAAGCTGCTCTTCCTTTGGTTCTTTAGGAGATTCATCCCTTGGAGTTCGACTGGGTACCTTTGTGTCCACAGGCTTCTTTTTTTCTTCCTCAGATGTTTTATCTGGCTTTTCTTCCGGCTTGCCGACTTTGGTGAAAGGCTTCAACACAACCTGCTCTTTCTCTTTATCTGGAGTTGAAATAATTCTAGGTTTTCCGCAAAGCTTGTCGGCAGCTGTAGGTTCTTCGTCTTTGGGTACTTTATTAACCTTTGTCCTCTGCGGGAACTCCTCTTGGTCGTTGCTGACATCAGGAGTTGACTTTGGACTCGTCAAGGGAGCGTCTTTATCTTTTCTGTGCTTTACAGCAGCGGTAGGTTGATCTTTCTGTAGTGTCTCAGCTCTCTTGAATGGAGTGCGTTCAGTATCTGTCTTAGCTTCACCTTCTGTCTTAGCTGTTGGAGGTTCAGCGGCGTCGGGTTTCTGAGGTTTTTCAAATGGTTTCAGTGTCACTACTTCTGGCTCCTCCTCTTTCTTTGGCAATTTCTTTATTTTCTTTTTAGTTAAATCAGGCTCAGGTTCTCCATCTTTCGGTGCTTTAGGGGTTCTTATCCATCTCGATTTCTCATTTTCTGCTTCTATCTTTTCAGGTTCCTCCATCTGACCAAGTTCAGATGCTTCTTCAGCTGCAGTGAACACTCTTTCAGTTCTTCCGACTGTTATTACCTCTCGATCGTGTCTGTCATGAAGCTTCTGAACAGTCAGTTCGGTATCATGTCTTGTCACTTCAACTTGAGTTATGACTTCCTTCTCAGGCTCTTTGGGCTTAGTTGGCACCTTTTTTAGCTTTATCTGTTGTGGTTTTTCTTCTGGTTTTCCTGGTTTTTCAAATGGTTTTAGTTTGACTGATTCTTTCTGCTCATCCGCCTTTGGCAGTTTAGTTATTTTCTTCTTATCTACATTTGGCACCTCGAGTTCTTCCTCCTTCTGTGCTTTTGGGGTTCTTGTCCATCCTTCTTTCTCGGTTTTCTGTACAACTGTAACCCTTTCAACTTCTTCAAAAAAGCCTAACTGAACTGTCTCCTCCTCAGCAGTGAAGACTCGTTCAGTTCTTCCAAGTGTTGTTATCTCACGATCTTCTCTGTCGTGAAGTCCATGAACCGCTAGCTCCAGATCGTGATGCCTCGTCACCTGTGCCATATGAGTTACAACTTGTTTCTCGGGCTCTGGAGGTTTCACTGGAACCTTTTTCAGCGTAATGACCTCTGGTTCTGCTTCCTTCTCCTTGGGTATTCTGGTGAACTTACTCTTCAATTTAGGTGATTCAGGTGTTTTTGCTTCCTGAACAGGAATCTTACCCTTTTGCTTAAGAGGTGGCACTGTGATTGAGGCAGTAAATACACCTTTTATAACATTCACATACAGACATACAGGAACTAAACATTTCAGCTGACATTTTTACAACTCAGGACTCACACACCACTTAAATATATATACAAAAAACATCTAGTTTATGAGACAACAACTAACATAGCAATATGTATTATTTTACTGCCATTTTAAAATGAAGATGTTAATATTTATACCTTTAGTTGGTCCAGGTGCTGAAACTGGTTCCTTGTCTGCAACAATTTAAATAAGATCAATTTAAGTATACACAATACAAACAGTGTTAGAACAAAAGCTAAATCAAAGACAAAGAAGGGTTTTTCTTTTTTTTAGACAGAAGGTTTGGCATGCATTTACTTTTGTTTTTATTTCTGAGCTCTGAATGCAATAACTTTATCAGGTTTTATTCAACATGATTTTCTGTGTAAGTTACAGTGAAGTAACTCCAGATATACCAAGAGATATTTTTATTTTCATTCAACAGATATTGTTAATATAAAAGACTTGGAATGGATTAGAGAATGGAAAATATTTTTTTTCCATTTATAAAAACATCAGACAAACATATCTAGACAGAATTAGACAGTGCATGCATTTCTAGAGACAAACAAACAGAAGAGAACAAAATACATAAAGTTACAGAAGAGATTTTACCTTCAGGCGGAGAGATTTTTTGTGATACAGGAGAGGGTTCAGCCTTTGCGGCTGGTGGAGAGGGTTTCTTCTCCACCGGTGCAACTTGAGCTACAAGAATGCCAACTTGATTAAATCACTGGCAAAGATCTGGTAAACAAGCATCAACTGACATATACTAAAACATAACAGACACATTTAAAGAATTCAGACCAACAGATTTCTTTAAGTTGAGACAAACAGGGAATTAAACAACATGGATGACAAACAGAAGAAACTACCTGCAGTAGGAACAACTTTTTCTGCTGGAGGCTTTGGTGTTGGTACAGATGGTTTCTTTTCCTCTGGAGGAGACACTTACAAGTACATGATACCAAAGGTCATAACCAAGAAAAGGTATGAAAGTAACAAGAAACAAAGGACAGATTAAATATGTGAAGAATGAAGACAAGTACACATGAATAAAACAGATAGAAAGTAATCTGTTACAAAAACAGAACCAGACAATGTGGAGGATTTCTAACATGGTAACACAAACAAAAGACAGTATATTTCAATACCACAAAACACACTGAAAGAACTACCTGGAGGAGGAGCGACTTTGGCTGCAGGAGCAGCCGGAGCTGAAGGCTTTCGTACTGGTGCAGATGGTTTCTTCTCCTCTGGAGGAGACACTTTGAAATACAAGATGCCAAGATCACGACCAAGACAACAACATGGACAATCAAGACCGACTATTGCACTGAAACAATGCAAGATAAGATTGGTGACACTGTAGGCAACAAATTAAATGGCCAATAAGGAAAAAGAAAACCACAAGGACAACTTTTGATTAGCCAGCAAGAAAAAAACAGTAAACATACAGACATTTACAACAACATAGGTAACCAAGTGAAGAAACTACCTGCAGGAGGAGCAACTTTCTCTGCAAGAGCAGGAGGAGGAGGTGAAGGTTTTGGTGCTGGTGCAGATGGTTTCTTCTCCTCTGGGTGAGATACTTTGGGGATACAAGATGCCAAGATCATAACCAAGAAAACAGTAATTCAAACGAAACGAGCAAAGTTAAAAATATGGAAACCTGAAGACAAGACAGACAATAAGAACAACACAAACAAATGGACACGAAGAAAAACAACATGGCTGACTCTTGATGAGCCAGCAAAGATGAGGAAAGTACAAACTGAACAGACTACCTGTAGGAGGAGGAACTTTGGCTGCAGGAGCAGGAGGAGGAGGAGGCGGTGCTGTTGCAGATGGTTTCTTTTCCTCTGGAGGAGACACTTTGGGAATACAAGATGCCAAGATCACGACCAAGACAACAACATGGTCAATCAAGACTTATTAAAGATGATTTAGACATGAATTACTCCAAACATCACAAACAAGTAGAAGAAGTTGACAAGATTAGAGATGTGAAAGAATGTCAACTGATGAACTCAACAATGAAAGATGTTAATAGACCAAGAAAGTTTCTTCAGTACAAAGCGCAACTCGTAGAGTGGTGACATAACAACCAACGGACGAAGACAGCTTACTCTAATGATATGAAGATTAATGCAAAATGTACCATCTTTTCTTGTTACTCAAGACCATATTCGAAGATGTGTGTGAGTGCAGTAAATATTTAAAGAGGGGTTGATCTTATGGCGATCATGAGCCTGTGCGGCTCAAAGAAGAAAGAATACCTTTCTGAAGAGTTTGTTGTTCAGTGTCCTGTGTTCCCGTTGCTTTCTTGTCATCTTCTCTTATTGGTGGAGGTTTAGTTGTGGTAATTCTCGCTTCTTTAGAGGAATCCACCTTGGGGGTGATTATCTTTTGTGCCAGACAGGTGGGTTTCTTCGATTGAAAAGTTTCTTCAGGTAGAAGAGGTTTTCTTTCTGTTGGAACTTGAGATTGTTTAGTTGGAGGAACCTTGTCTTTAGTGATAGGTTTCTTGGGAAGACTCACTTCCTCAGCGGAAAAGTCTTCTTTAGGACCAACAACTGCTTTGGGAAGTGGAGGGAATGTCTTCTTTGTAGGCAGAACACTTTGTTGTGGTGGTGGAATTTCTTCCTCAGGACAAACTACTTTCTCAGTTGAAGGAATTCGAGCTGGAACTGGAGGTGACACTGCTGCTACACGTTCTTCAAAAGACAGTTTTTCTGACACACGAGTTGGTTTCTCCAAAGGTACAATGTCTTTAAGATACATTTTTTCAGCAGCTTTAGAAGTTGTCTTGATTTCTTCCTTTGGAGACTCCCTCTTTTTAGTTGTTTTTGCTTTTTGATTTGGAGGAACAGCTGTTGCAGGATGAGAAGGAATAGTTTTGGGAAGAATCTGAGGTAAGTCTTGGTCAGGTTGAGGTGAAACGGTTTCTCTACGAGGCATGGCTCTTACAGATGCAACTTCTTCCACTTCAGCTTGCTTCACAAGAGTTACTTCTTTAGGTATTACTGGCTTCTTTGGTACAGTGACTTCTTTAGATGTAGCAGAGATTTTAGGTTTAACAAGATCCTCCATTAGAGACACAAATTCTTTTTCAATTTCTTCATGATGTTTTGGTACAAATGATTCAGTTACTTCTTTGTGCTCTGCATATGTTAGAGGAATGTCAGCTTCCTTTAACTTTCTTTCTTGAGGTTTCTTGTAAGCCAGTACCTCTTTTTTGACTGTCAATCCAAAAACGTCTTTCTTTGTGGGACAAGTCATTTCAGGTGGTGCGACTCTCTTTGATGGAAGAAGGGCAGCTTCCCTTAAAGAAATTTCTTCTCTCAGGTCTACTGCTTTGTCCTCTGGAACAAAGGCTTCATCATCCTGAGATTCAGTGCTCTCCAGTTTTTCAGACTCATATTCTGAGCATGTTAGTTCAATGTCCTCTAATGGCTCAACATGCTGATCTTCACTGTACCATGTAAAAGCCTCATCTTTTGCAAGAACCATTTCTTGTCTTATTTCCCTTTTCAAAGTGGTTTCTTCTCTCACGATGGACTCCCTGAACTCCACTCCCCTTTCATATGTGCTGACTTGTTCTTGCCTATGTCCAACTTCATCTTCCAGAGAAATTCTTTCTACTTGACCCCTCTTTAGAGAAGCCTCCCTGCTGTATTCAAGTACATCTGTTGTTTGCTTAAGGTCAGTCTTCAAGGGAACTGCTGCAATTATCAAGATATCACCCAAGATTGAAGATTTGCACCATGGAGCGGTGGCCAAGAGGAAAACAGCAAAAGACAAAAATAATCAAGACACAAAAACACAGATATCAGTGTGGTGTACATTCTACTGTGATCCTCATTTTATAACTGCACTGCAGGTGTTATGAATCACTACCTCTCTGCTGTGGAATATCTTTAGAATTTTGCTGGACTGAATCTTTTCCAGATGTAATAACCTCATCTGGTTTCAGAGATAAATAAATACCAGCCAAACTACAAGAATCTGATGTGCTGACTTTCTAAAATTATCTGAGAAACATTTGCAAGTCCGAACATACCTTTGATGGGTGTACCCGTCTCCAGCTTTGGTTTAGCTAGTGCTGTTGTTTCCTGTGGTATCTCCCTCTGTTTTACTGTTTTGATAATTGATATGATGTAGCAAACAGTCAACATGACAGAACAGACATCAGGACAAAAGTTTTGAAAATTAGATCAAGATAAGCAGGAATTAGTTAATAAGATGTTCAAACACATGTTTGCAGACATATCTACCTTTTTGCTGAGGCTTTTTAGCCTGAAGAATTTGTTTTGGTGTTTCCAAATCTGCTGTTTGTTTTGGTGCTCTGCGGTGTAGCTCTGGTTCTTCTGTTACTAATTTCGGAGCCTCTAGACTTTTCTCCAGCTCTACTGGTGGCTCTGTAACCATTTTGTGTGTTATAGGAAACTTCTTTGGTTCTTCTAGGATCATCTTTGGTATTCCTGGAAGCTTCTTTGGTGCCTCAGGAATCAACTGTGTTTCTTCTAGTACTTTCTTGGGTTCTTCAGGAACCCTAAATGGTGTTTCTTGAACCTTCTTTGGCACCTCAGCAACTGTCTTTGTTTCTTCTACAACCTGCTTAGGTTTTTCTGGGACCTTCTTTGGTTCTTCTGGTACCTTCTTTTGTGTGTCTGAAAGCTTCTTTGGTGTTTCTGGATACTTCTTTGGTGCTTCAGGAACCATCTCTGTTCCTTCTTGTACTTTCTTGGGTTCTTCAGGAACCCGTTTTGGTGTTTCTTGAACCTTCTGAGGCACCTCAGCAATGCTCTTCATTTCTTCCAAAACTTTTTTAGGTTTTTCCAGGACCATCTTCCGTTCTTCTGGTTTTGTTTGACAGATATACCTCGGTGCTTCTGGTTCAGGTTTACTAGCCAGCAGATGTGGTTTTCTTGAAGGTTCAGATGTCTTTGGTTCTGGGACAACTTTGAAGAACATTTGTTTATAAGATTATTATCTTGTTAACCAAATTTTGAAAAAAGTCACACTCTAACGAGTGCTTAGCATGCTCAAAGATCATCAAAGAAGGTATTTTGGAAATATCAATTTCGTAAAACATGATAAAACTAAACAAACTTAAAACATGAGAAACAACACAAACAGAAAACATAAGAGCACAGCAAAGAAACCTGTTAAGAGCATCTCTGCAGTACCTTTAGTTGGAACAGCTTCAGCCTTGGGTGGAGTGGCCTTGGGTTCTTCTGGTCTGGGTACATCTTGCACTTAAGAGAACATTATGTATTGTTTAACCTACAAGTAATGACCAAGTCTAACAAAGATTACACTCTAAACGAGTGAATTCAAAGTCTGAATTAGGATATAAGAGGCTTTCAAAGGTCAACAATCAATACCTTTAGCTGGAAGATGTTCCGGTGTTGTGGGAGCAACCTTGGCTGCAGTTGGGTGAACTACAGGTGCTTCAGGCTTTGGTAGTTCTGGTGCTTTAAAGAACATTATATATACAATATGTTCATTAACCTGCTGGTAACCATTAAGACTTCAACATCCACTCTAACGAGTGTTAAGCACAAAATGACAATCTGAGAACATAAAACCCTAACAATTACAGAAACCAACCACATGACATAATAACAACACATATCAAAGAGTTCAAAGATGAGATAAAACACTGTCCTTCCAATACCTTTTGGTAAACTATCTTCAGTCTTTGTTGAGGTAATCTTGGCAGCAACTGGCTGAACTACAAGTTGCTCTGGTTTGGCTACAGCTGGAGAACATTAAAAGTTTTTCATTTACTCTACATTTAATGTGAGGTTATTGTAGGAACAAGGTGTGAGGTTTATTATCAGTACACTACAGCTATGTCAGTAATGTCTAGAGTTAGACTGTAGAGGGATTATATAGAAAGCTATAGCCAAATATACATTAGACAATGTTAATTAAGAGGTTAGCAGTGAAGATTCAAGGTTTACACAAACACATTAAAGAGTTATACACATTGATCACAGCAGCACAAACATAACAAGAAGAAAGATATACTGTAAAACAATGTTTTTGCAGCTGATCAATGCAAATTGTTCACTACTTTACCTCTCCGTTCAGGGGCTTCTGGTGTTTTCTTGGCAGGTTCAACTTTCGGTGCTTTGGGTTCAGGCTTAATTTTCGGCTCAGGTGCTGCCGGCTTCTGAGCCGCCACCTTAGGCTGATGCGGAACCGTTTTTGACTCCACTGTAGGTTGATACAGTTCAGGAGTGACCTTTCTGTGAACGGTCACTTTGTCCTGTTCTGGTTCTGGTTTGATGTATACTGAAGGTTCTTCAAGGTTAACAGAGAAATATTACTGTGAGTCAACATAGAGCACACACAGCTTCAAGAGTTTAAGGGGTCAAAGAAGGAAAATATAACATATACAGACAATATATCAGAGACAGACTGACAAACAACCAAACAACTGACAGACGAACAGCCAAGAGTACAATGCTATTTATGCATTGTAAGAACGCTCACAGCAGAATCACTTTAGACAACATTAAGTTATACAAACAGCTTTTAGGAAGAAATCTTAAGGTGAAGTTCATCTTCATCTTCAGTTTTATTTGATAAAGATATTAATGATATGATTGATGGATTTTAAGAGAAAAATGTCAAAACATTTGTACTTGTATACATGTATGTATAAATAAATAAAAATTCTTATATATAAATACTATTAACTATAAAAATGAAATATTTAAAAAAAAATTAAAAATATCCAAAACATTTGAAAAAAATGTATTGATATTAATATAATTTATATTATTTTTAGTGTAATGTGTAGTGTAATAGAAGTAGGTTTGTGTTCCATTTCTTTTTGCATTATGTGTCAAGAATTAAAAATAGAAAGATGAGGATGAATTTTGTTAAACAAAATCTGTAAAGAATCAAGAAAAAAAGTCCATTTATGTCTATTTTTGCAATTATTTTAACATTGCACATCAACAATTAAAAATGTAAAAAAGTATGTAAATGTGTTAAATAAAAAAATACTACCTTTACAAAAATGCCTTTGCAATTTTTGATGCAATATAAATCCACCCTTTTTTGAATATTTTATATGAAGAATCAAGACTGTGAGCCAATACAGACTCTCTAAGATCACAAACAAAGAAAATAATCGACAATAACAAAATAATAAACATTACCTTTTGGGGCCGGAGGTTCCTCACGCTGAGGCAGAGCGACGACTTCAGGCTGCGGCTTCTTTGCTTCGGGTACTTTAAAATATTATCATGAGTTTCAGTTTTCTGACCAAGATACATGCTAACATCAAGACTCTCACTGTGAGGTCTTTAAGAGAAACAAATAAATGAAGAAAGGAACAAACAAGAAAGGTCCAAAAACCAGACACACGGTACATAAATAAGAGAATATAACAGGTACAGACAGACAGTGGTAGGAGTAAGAAGAGGTATTTGCAGATACCTTTGGCTGGAGCTGGAGGCGGAGCTGCAGGCTCAGAGGGTTTCTCCTCTGGTCTCCTGTGAACCTCAGGAACTTGAAAGATCAAGAAAGTTCACATTAAAACTACATCAGCCAAGCTCTACTCTACTTTCTGCCACCTACTGTACAGAAAGCTCTAGTGAGGGTTAATAAGAGCGTCAGAGAGGTGAGTCTGGGTCAACAAACATTAATAAGAGGGATGAAACACGGAAGTAGAAGACAGACCAACGGATCATATATGACAAAAACAAACACCGTCGGAGAGAAAAGCTTCTATGAGCAGCAGCTGCTGGCGTGAAGCGTTTAAACTGGACAAACAAACATGGCGGCTAGCAGAGTTCGTTATAGCCACAAGCTCTGTGTAACAGCCAGGAGCCCTTTGCCTTTTTAAAAAAGTAATTATACCTTTAGGGACTTCTTCTCTTATCAGAGTCCTCTCAACAATCTCTTCCACAGGTTTTTTCTCTTCTGGTAAAGAAGAAAAGTGAACTTAGAAAAAATCAACCTGACTGATACGTGAGGACCGACGAAGGTCTTTAATTATCAGAAGTTATCAAAGAGGAAATGAAGTGGATTAACTGTAAATGAACAATCGATGAAGAAACAAGGAGAGAAAATGTGAATGATGAACACAACAAACAGACAGACGTATAAGAGATGTTTATAGACAGACAGACAGACAGACAGACAGACAGAGGGATGACAGGGTTTATATTGATGATGGAGTTATTTTATAGAACAGAATAATGTTGATACCTGTGACGGAGGAGAACCGAACAGAAACCGTCTCTTCTTGAACTGTCAGACTTTGAGAAGCTACAGTAGATCATTGAAGGATAATCAGCTGTTAGAGATCTGTGTTCAAATGTTTCATCACTGCACAGTTTGTGCAGAAGAGGATTATGTCGAACAATAATTTAGGGATTAAACTCAACTAATTCTGACTCTGAAACTCTAGAATTTGTAATTTAAATTTAAGAATAATGAGAATAATGAGAATTAGTTCAGAAACGTCCAACATAAAAGTCAGGATTCAGACTCGGACTAACCTCAGACTCAAAAAGTTCTGGCTTTAATTTACAAAAATCTGACTTCAGATTTCGATTTTTGTATAGGAGATACATTTCTAATTTCAATTAAAGTCAGGATTTTTGACTGTAATCTCTGACTAATAACATAACCATACACCAATACTATATGGTTACGAAATGTCTATGATAGGCCAATATTGGCTGATAGATCAGTCGAGCACTAGATTTATATAAATAATAATAATAATTCAGTGTTTAAATGTCTGAATAATCTCATAATTTCAAGATTAATCTCAGACTTAATAATAATCACACGGCCATAATCATCTTCTGTACATTTATTTCCATTCAGTGACATTTAAAATATATTTACAGACTGTGAATTAAATGTTATCGAAGTTCATATGTTGAGTTGGTATTTGAGTTGAGGGATGATGGCTGAATTAATATTCACTGAGTTCAAAATGAGCACACGGTTATTGAAGATGAGAGTTAAAGGATGAAGAAGATGAAGGTTAAATTTTAGAAAGTTTCATGTTTAATGTTGATGGATGAAATGCAGAAAACTGTTTCTTCACGCAAAGTAAGACTTAAAAGTGTTGATAGTTAGTGCTAATTTCACAATTCACAACTTTTTGTACCTTTCACTTCTGTTCTTTCTTCATAGTGATAAAATTCAGAGGAATCTTTTGGTAGAAAAAGACATTTATGAATGAAAGAAGCTGAGTGAAGTTGTGTTAAAGTTTGATTGGTAGAAACGGTCCCAGACTCACCTCTAAAAACCATAGAAGCTGTCTCTGGAACATGAACTGATGTGTCTGGGACGTCTGAAGGTTTAGCCACAAATACATCTTCTGTTAATTTTGAACTTTACGGGAAAAATATATTTTTTTAAACGTGTAGAATGACAGTAAAACTTCACATTTCTTCCATTTAATAATGAAATTGTAATAATTTCACCAACCTGCTGATAAGATATGTTTTATTTGTTAAATTTGAGTTCGTCTTGTCTCAGGATGTTATTTCAATCTGACTTTAATTAAAGCAGGAATGAGGAACTTTCGTTAAGTGTTGATTCTGGCGCTCCCCATGGACAAAAGTGGCAATGTTTCTACTGCCTCGCTTCATTGATTTCAAGGGGAATCTGATTGAATCTGACCAGGAATGACAATATAGAAATTGCCAGTGGGTTCAGCCTGAAGACATGTTCAGTTTTACTGTCATCAGGATATTAGCTGTTAAAAAATACTCACCCTGAGGAACCTTTCCTAACCCAATTTCTGTAAAAGGACAAGGTACAAAATGTTATTATAACCGCTAACTTAGAGTAACTTTAGTGTTTTAGCTGTGAGATAAAACGTACACACCTTTGCCCGACAGGTAAAGCTCAGCTGTGCTTCGAGCTTCTCCCATTGGCTCCAAACGAGCGATCACCGAGTAAACGCCTGACGGAGTGGAGACATTATTCAAGTTGCTCATCGTTTATAAAGAGAGTTTTTACCTTAGAAGGGCGAACTTTGTTAGCTGTGTTAGCATTATGATGTCCTGACATTTTATGGACCAAAAAACTAATCAATTAATCGAGAAATTGACTAACAGATTAATCGATAATGAAAATAACTTCTGCCCTAGTCAAGACAATGTATTTGTTTGACTGAATTCATGTTTAAAAATTCACTAAAGTTGAAGTTGACACAAAAGGTTTGAGTCTATTTTCTTTACCTCCGCAACTCAGTACTTTAAATGCTGGTGTGACCGGCCCTTTGAGCCAGTTACATCTCATCTGTCATCATTAAGGACCTCTCTAAGTCCAAAACGTTTCATTTAATTTAAAGGCAGTACAAATTAACGTATTAATCTGTTTAATATTCTTATTTTACCCCCTTCTTAAATCCCGCCTCTTTTTGCTCTGTGCTCCAATAACAGTTGAGCAAGCCTCGGCCAACTAGCTGGCTAATCTACATCAATTGTTAGGTAGCTAGCATTTTTCTAACATTTGTTATTGGATGTAACTAGCTAGCTAACAACTGATGTAGATCAGCTAGTTAGATACTGTAGCTAGGATTTTGTAGCCAACTTAAGATCTACTATATATATATATATATATGTGTGTGTGTGTGTGTGTGTGTGTGGTTGTCTTTTCAACATTGATTAGCCTAGCACGTAGCATATCTAAGTACAGCAAAGGAGGAAGTTGACCAAGGTAGATAAGAAGAATATTAAACAGATTAATAAGTTAATACATATTAACTTAACTTATATGCATATTTGCACATTATAAAATAATCATCAGCTGGTTTGGCCCCAAACTAAATTCTAAAAACTAAATTAAAAAAACAAATTATTTTATTTTTTATTTGTCAGCTCTATGCAGCCAAAATCTCTTAAATATAAGTTAAGCAGAATGAAACATTTAATTTCATTCTCTGTACCTTTTTCTTTCTTTTATAATATCACTGAGAGCTTTGAAGGAAGTAAGTATCTCTCCAGAGTGAAAAATATAGTTCAAATTTACTTTTTAAACTAACCTTCGTCCTTCGGTGTTACGTTGCGGATGGTCATAAAGTGCCGTCGGCCCTCGGTCCTGAAGTTATATTTTGGGCTCTCTTTAAGCTCCCATGCATCTTTGTACCATGTGACGGTGGCGTTGTCGAAGGACAACTCGCACTCAAAGGTGGCAGAGTGGCGTTCATTGACCTCGATGCTTCTGATGCATTTAGTGAACTGAATTTGGTCGGCTAAAACCAGACAATCAGAGTTAACTCCTGATTTCACAATATTAGATTCATGTTAGTTTATAACATTGATTATTTGATGTGTTTCATTTTGTTATTTATATATTAAGACTCTTGTGGGAGATTTTCTTTGATTGAAGTTAAATATGAAAGAAACACAGAACAAAAACAGAAAACAGAAATCCACAAAACAGAAATAAAGTCATCTTATGTGACCCGGCAGGTCCAAAGAGGTCAGTTTGAGTTTGGTTAGGGTGAAGTCGTACTGCTCACCTGTCTTGTAACCAGCTCCTCATAAATAATAAAATAAAGGAGTGGGACCTGAGGAAATGTCACAGACGTACAGACAGGTGTCCATCAGCCTGGACAGGAAGTTCAGACTCTTACCTGTGACAGTGAGCTTGGCGTTGGAGATGTGAGGACCACACACCACGCGATAGTTGCCCTGATCTTTGACCTGGCAGTTCTTGATCTTCAGATAATGGCGGTCGCCCACAGTGCTGATGTCGTACTTGTCGCTGTTGTCCAGTTTCTGGGTGCCTTTGTACCAGGTGAGGGTGATCTCCGGATAGTTGATCCGGATGCAGCACTCAAAGGTGGCGCTCTGGTTCTCGGTTATCGTCTGGTCACTGATGTCCTCCATCACAGAGACGGGCTGAGGGGTCAAAATCTGTTTTAATCATCAAACTCTTATGGGTCAAACTTTAGACCAGAGATGTTCCGATACCATGTTGTTCCGATACTGAGTACCGATTGTATGATTGCTGTCATTGTTGTAGTCAATGCAGGGTGGGTCATGACTTCACTATCCTCGGAAAAAAATGGCAAACAGGGCACAGCTAGGATCCCGTTTTGTATATACTATACTAATAAATGACGTAGTATTGGATTAATGCATGGACACATGTACTTGTCGATACCTGATACCACATTTTAGGAAGCACCGGAGGCATTTCCGATACTTGTACCGGACCAACTCTACTTTAAACTTTGTGCAAATCTACAGAACTTTATTTAAATTCTAGTAAAGATCCCAAAGTTTCCAGAAATAAAAGAAAAACTTAAGAGAAATGCGTCTAAAGTGACAAATGTAGAATATTTATGTAGTTTTATGTGTTTCTTTACATATGTTTCATATTTCTGCATTTTTTATAAATCTAATGAAAACGTATGATGAATAGCTTATTGTGCTTTTGCAAAATATATCTTTTACCTGCCCCTGATTGATACTTTTGGCAATGCACTGCAGTATTCAGTTTGATTATGCTGTGATTGATTTAAGCTACAAAGTAAAACCGACAGTGTTGTTGGTTGGTGTTGGGTACCTCTGTGCCGACACGTCCCTCCAGCTGCTGGATGAGTCGGGCCATGTCCTCCTCCTCAACCCGGCCACCATGCTCCACCTCCTGCGGTGGGGAAGACAACAATGAGTACATCTTAAACTCTTTCTACACCATTGTAATGAAACATTAGCGAAATGTGTTCCTTGTTGCTCTCTTAGTTACTCTAATAGAGTAACTACACCACTCTACTAATTTCCACTGTGAGAAATTAACTTAAAGAAATAGTTCACACACTTGTTTTCTGGTTGAGAGTCAGACGTTCAGATTGATTCCACACTCATGTCTGTATTGTAAATATGAAGCCAAAGCCAGAAGAATGTTAGCTTATCTTAGCTAAAAGACTGGAAACTGGGAAACCGCTAGCCTCTTCTTTTCTCGTTCTGTTTTTTTTACGTCTCAGTTTGTTTCTGTTCTGCTGTAACAGGGATTAATAAAGTCTGACCTTGTCTTTTATTATAATTATTTCAAGCAGCTGTATCTTCAAAGCAAAACTTTAATCCTAACATGGGATGAACCATCATCAGCATTAGTTAATAGTCTCACCGCTTTTCCAGACTGCATCTCCTTCTCCCTCTTGAGAAACTCCACGGCCTGCAGGATGGCGCGGTAGTCGTGGATGCCATGCTCCCGCAGGATTTTCTCGTAATCTTTGGGGTCGTGACCTCTCAGCAACTCTACAATATCGATGTCTCCCTCTTTCTTGGGACTCTTCTGCTTCGAGGGAGTCCTGACAAATATTAAATACACAATCAGAAAAGGTGTCTTCTTGTTAAAGAGACCAGTATGCAGACCAGTCAACTTGGCCTGCACTTCCACAAATAAAGAAATAAATCATCCACAAAGAAAAGTTCCAGTAAACTTACTTCTTCAGCCTTGTCCTTATGTCTCCAATTCCTTCCATTTCCTCCTTCTTGGTGACCTCCATCTCAGCGCTGCACTCAATCTCTCCATGTTTGTTGGTGGCGACACATCTGTACTGACCAGAGTCAGATTTGGTCACCTCTCTGATCTCCATTTTGGCATCCTGGCCCTTGTGCTCAATGGAGATACGACCACCAGGGGTGACCTGCCTCCATTTGCCCTTCATCCACTTCACGCTGGGAATCGGGTCTCCCCCAATCTTGGCAATAAAAGTTGCGGTGCCCTCTGCAAAGAAAAAACAAGTGTTGAGTAGCATGAGTAGCATAAAGGGAACTACAGCTGACTTCATTATACTTATATATTTTATTTAAATTTTTTTCCTTGTACACAGGAACACAAAAATAATAAGTCTATTTATCAAGATTCAGATCATTTCTATTTTGTTTTTTGTTCAAATTGTTCCTACATGTTTCTTGTTTATCTTTTTATGTATGTTTTGTTTCATTTCTTCTTTTTTTTTCTTGTTTACCTATTTATATATTTTAATATATTTGATTACTTTTTATATCCTTTTTTTTTAGAGTTCTCTCTTTCTGCCTCACATGTTCTCAATGTAAATTGATGAGAGCATTTCCTTAATTCATGTTTTTATTGAGTGCTGTTATGGAGTTCGTATTGATTAAAATAACAAATTTCATAAATGTATGAAAAGTGCTACACAAATAAAATCTGACTGATTGATTGATATAAAAACAGTTGACTTGGCAATGTTCTGAAAAGTCTGGCCAAGTGTAACAAATGTGAGAGCTCAATCATGACTAGAGATTGGTAATGCTTTTCCTATTTTACGTTAATCTGCAGAGCTCTCAGGACAAACAGCCTCAGATTCAGATGTCTACGAACAGTCTACTTACTTTCTGTGACAGAAATGTTTTTAGGTTCCTCGATGAAGAAAAGGTTGTCCAGCCTTTTGACTGCGGCAGCAGCAGATGCGGCAGCAGCCTCTGTGGGGGCAGCCTTGGCTCCTTTGTCTGAAAAGAAATCATTGAGGTGAGTCACACCAAGTAGCCCAATCAGAGCCTCAAACCTGCTCAACTGTCATTAAAACAGTCCAATTTCTAAGGGGCTACCACCTAATCTGGAAGTATTTCATGTTCTTTATTGTGTAAAAAGTATAAAATATAGGTAGTAAACAGTCATCACACATGTTGGTCACAAGAAAAATGTCATAGTTCATAATAAAAAACTGGTTGTACAAACATTACCTTTCACAGTGACTTTGGATTTGCAAAAGTCACTGCCAGTAGCGTTGCTGGCCTTGCAGAGGTAATCCCCTCCGTCAGTTTTTGAGACTGGGCTAACCTCCAGACAGGCTGTCCCACCAACAAATGTGATTCTGGTGTTTCCACTGGACTTCAGCTCCCTCCTGTCCTTCATCCACTGGATGGTCAGTGGAGGGGTGCCTCTGACGTGGCATTTTAGGCTCAGCTTCTCGCCCTCGCTCACTGTCACCGGTTCCAGAGGGACATCAAACTTTGGAGCTTGGCTAGTTTCTGAGTGGTGGGAAAGAAGCAGAACAGTTACAGATACTTTCAAACAGTAACACTGAAACATTATGGAGCACAAACCTTTAGAGGTAAACCAGACTAACAATGAAATTCCACCAGGCACCGCTTTATGACATTGCATCTGCAACGCAGTTTGGCTAAGTCATCTGCGCTTCTTAAAATCCCACCGAGAGGGTTTCAGAAGCGGAGCGTCTTCAGAGCATATTTCCTGCCTGATGTTGTTGACTTGTATATTTTGTCCTTAATTAATAGGTTATAACCTCCTCCCCTTCCACTCCCAAAATTCCTAATTAAATTCAAGGCCTTGTCCGTTTCATAGTGTCAAATCTCCTCTGACCTGCCTCTGACTGACTAGGACAATGTTGATGTAGTATAAATTGTATTTTGAAAATGTATTGGATTCTCTATGACATTTCTGTGCCTGACTTCCTGCCAATGCGATCTACTCTGTGCTGCTTGACGTGGGTGGGTTGTGACTTCCATCAAAAATAGACCAAAATATTCTCCACGGAGCAGAGCGCAGCAACCAAGTTATGTAACTTCCTAAATTGTAGTTAGCTAATTGTTAACAAGCCAGTTAGCTTGGCAGCCAAAGTAACTCGCTAACCAGTGTCACAAGGAGTCACTGTTTTACAAAGCACCAGGATGAGTAGCCTTATTCTGGTGTGACTGGGTACTAAAATAATAAAAACATATTCAAGGAAGCCATTTGCTAAATTTTGATTGGCTAAATTTTGCAAAGACCCAGATCAATTTAATGTGGAATGATTGCACCAAGATAGAGATAATATGGATCTCAGTTTCTCAGGGGAAAGGTTTTACCTGGAAACATTTCAATCTCAAGATCATACAACAAAACCTAAAGGCCTTAATGACTGAAAAAACAAATGAAGATAATGCGTCACACTCATACCTGAGATGGAGAGAGAAACCCGACATGAAGCTTTTCCAGCTTCATTGGAGGCCTCGCAGGTGTACACACCGCTGTCAGAGCTGGAGGAGTCTCTGACACACAGCATGGCCAGGTTGTTCTTGAAGCTGACATCGTATTTGTCAGAGCCGTAGATTTCATTGTTGTCCTTGTACCATGTGACGGTGATTGGCTGGGAACCAGACACCCGACTCTCCATCTTCACCGTCTTGCCCACAGAATCCATCATGGACTCAGAGGGCTTCTTGGTGAAGTTTGGAGGGACTTTGTGCTCTGTTAGTGAGGGAAAAAGTGAAAAAAAATGAGGCCATGTTGTTACATTTGGAAATGTTCCGAAATTTAAATTGAAGTATCATTCACCAGGCCACTTGGCCTTTCCTGTTACATTGGGGGAAACAGAGAGCCACAGTATGCAAGACAACATAAAAACACCTGCAACACAAAATTGAACAAATACAAAATATTGATCCTTTTAACAAATACTGCTACCTGTCTATGAATCCATTTTTCAGGCAAGCAAATATTTATCTGACCAAACCTTAACAACATGGAAATCATGCTCTCAAGGTCCTTTTAAAAACCTTTTTCTTTCCAAACCCAACAAACACAGGATCCGCCAACCATAAACCCAACAACACCCTAAACACAACGACAATGTAACCCAGGACTTTTTCATCATTACGAAATTCCTTCGTTATCGATAAGCACAGGACCACAGGAAGGTTAACAATACTATAGTAGAGGTTAGCATTAGTAACTGGAACCACATGAGGAGAATGAGTTTAGATGGGAGGAAATTTGTTGGTTACTGTGTTACCTATTTTAACATGAGCGTGACAGGTGTCAGTTCCTTCTGCATTGGAAATTTCACAAGTGTATTTTCCCGCCGCTTCAGCTCTGTCGCTGTTGAGGACCTCCAGAATGCACAACGAGTCTGTGGTTTTGATGTTGTACTGGTAAGAAGCCCAGATCGGCTTGTCGTCCTTCTTCCACGTCACGTACGCCCTCTGGCTGCCAGTGTACGTGCACTCCAGCCTCAGCGGTTTACCCAGCTCATGGTCGACGTCCTCCAGTTTCTTCACGAATCTTACAGGTTCTGGGAGAAGCAATGTTGAAATGAGTCATGACAACCACTGATCTCTACATGTGGAGGACGAAAGACTATGTGATTGCGCAGTATCCAAAGGTATCCGTGGATGTTCTCATGCGTAGAAAGAGAGGCTATGTGAAAGGAGGGACTTGTACCTGTACATGAAGGTAAGGTTACTAGCATTGGCTATGTGAGTAGCGTGTTACCTCTAGAAATTACTAATTTCATGCATGAAATGATGAGAATGATGAGAACTACAAGCACTGTATTGTTGGTTAGTGTTACCTAGTTTGACATAAGCATGGCAGATATCAGAGCCTTCGGCGTTGGAAATTTCGCAAGTGTATCTTCCACGAGCTTCTTCTCGGTCACTGTTGAGGACTTCCAGCACACAGCCACAATCTGTGGTTTTGACGTTGTACTGATAAGAGGCCCAGATTGGCATCCCATCTTTCTTCCAGCTCACATTCAGTCTTTGGCTACTAGTGAACGCAACTCTAAGTGTCAATGGTTCGCCAACTCGGAACGTGGTGTTTTCCAGCTTCCTGATGAAGCGAGCAGGTTCTGTGAGAAGCAGTGATGGTTGTTAGATGCAAAGGTAATTGTGAGCAAGCAGAAGCAAATATGAATCATAATTTACTGATGAAATTCAATTAGCTTTGATTTAATTATATGAAGGGCTTATAGAGTATAGTATAGAGTTCCATCCTACTCCCAGGACAGTTTGTGTTCCCCTAGGCTCAGTTGCACATGTGTTTACTCATAGAAGGTATCTTCCATTTGTTTGTTAAAGTTATTTGTCTGTCCATGATGAAAACCATGAATCTTACACCTTGATTCCACCGGGCACGGCTCTGTAACGTCGTCGTTATCTGCGAAGCTATTTTGGTCCATCCTCTACATGGCTTCATGCCGCACCAGGAGCATTTCAGAGGCAGAGTGTTTCGCTTTTTGTTAAGATTTTGTTGATTTGAACATTGCTCTTTGATTTATGTGCTTCTACTGCAGGTAAGTAGGCAACACAGTTACATTGTTTCCTCTTGGTCTGGTTTTACAATCAGGGATCTGCAAAGAGTGTTTTATTTTGAAAAGTGACCAGATTCTCTATGCCATTGCTTTGTCTGACTTTCTGACTTTGCAATCGGCTCTTCTGTGAAAAATAGACCAGCTGCATATTCTCCTCGCAGAAGATAGGAGAGATGCTTCTGGGACGCTTCTGCAATGCACTGCTGTGCTTCTGGTGGAATCACAAGCATCGTCAAGAAAGAGAGAAATTGTCTGTGCAGCCAGGACGCATCACAGCCATGCCCGGTGGAATCCAAGCAAAGAGGGTGAATTCTTCATTCTAGATTTAGCTACATGAAGCCCAGGTAGACATAAAACTTCCATTGAACTTAAAAAGGCCAGACACAAACATCACTGTGCCACCTTAAGACCTAGGCCACCAGAGACCCCTAATCATTTATGAGATCACGCCACCGTGCCAGGGTTCAAGCTATGCCCTTCGGAACAATCAGTTTTCTGTGAGGAACTACCAGGAGCTACGGCAACGGGCATTGGACTGTTTGATCGTAAACAACAATGGTTACAGAAGGTAAAGAGGTTAGCATAAATGCTGCTAGCATCAGTTAAAGTCTTTTTTCAGAACAGCATGGAACAGAATGGCTTTTCTCGATGGAAAAGATGTTTTCACTCTTCTCCCAACTGGTTACATTTGACTATGTTATATGGTTTGTTAATCTGATAGGTTGAAGTGGTAGACAGATGGTTCATCCAATCTTATTTCAGCTTTTCAGATGGAAGACACCCCCTTTGGAGCAAAAACAGGTTGAACAGAAGCTAATCTGGGAGTAGGATTACATTTCTGTGGCTATGTATGTGACACATTTTTGATTCAAATGTTTTCAGTGTTAGTGAATGATATAAAAAAAAAGTGCTGTGGTGGGTCGTGGAGGTTATACCTTTCTTAGAGGTTTTACAAACGACATACGCGTCACACACGGTGGAACCTTCTGCATTAGAAACTTGACAGGAATAGAGCCCTGCCGCTTCTTCTCTGTCACTGTTGAGGACTTCTAAAACACATGTGGAGTCTGTGGTCTTGACATTGTATTTGTACGAAGCCCAGATTGGCTTCCCGTCCTTCATCCAGCTCACGTGCACTTGCTGACTGCCGGTGTATGTGCACTTTAGATACAATGGAGTTTTCAGACAGTACGATGTGTCTTCAAGCTTTTTCACAAAGCGCACAGGTTCTGAGAGAAGCAACATCAGTGTTAGTCATGTCATGTAGCCTGAACTGTTAGCAAAATCAGTGACTGAGTATGTTAGGAGGAGGTTACCTAGTCTGATATGAGCATGACTGATAGCAGAGCTACTAGCATTGGATATTTCACAGGAATATCTCCCAGCAGCCTCTTCTCTGTCACTGTTGAGAACCTCCAAGACACAGGAGTTGTCTGTAGTCTTGACATTGTACTTGTAGCAAGCCCAGATTGGCTTGCCATCTTTTGTCCAGTTCACATACACGTGCTGACTGCCTGTGTACTTAACCTGAAGCTTCAGAGGCTGGCCAACCCTAAAGGTCATATCCTTCAGCTTTTTCACAAAGCGCACAGGTTCTAGAAGAAGCAAGGACGTTAGCTGTTAGTTGGCTGTCAACTTATGAGAAAGATGAGTGAGATTATGTGAAATATAGTTAGCAAGTAACTTATAATTGTGATCAATAAAACTTATAGGGCTCATTTTTTCAGTTTTTAACAATTGTCATGAATAAAAATACTAATTTATATGTACTGCCACTAGGGGGTCTCACACAAGCAGTTTCACATTAATAATCAGTGTTTCTCCAACAGACAAACAACGCTACAGCTAACGTTAGCTCAGCTTGTTTCTCTGAGAACTTAAGATCCAGAC